AAATGGGGATTTTGGTTAGTTTGTATATTATAGTTTTTTTGTTGTATTTCTAACAAATAATCTCATTATTTGAAGCGTAGGATAATTGTCAAATTTGACCAAAAAAAAAACGACCATCTGATCTATAAAATCGATAGATCGTATAATTTCTATTGAAATCGAACGTCAAATTATACGCATGTATATCGAATTGGACCCGAATCTAGCAGCATTCAGAAGGTTTGTTGGTGAAAGTTGCACAGCGAAAGCCAGTATGACACAATCCTTAGAGTTATATAGTTGCTNATTGTGGGGACCTTCCAGTCTCGTTCCTCTAATTGATCGCGATTGTTACCGACGTTGGATCTTTTTCGACTAGAGATTACTAGTGAACAGGTAACCAACCGTAATGACGAGAAGAAAGCGCATTCTTTCTAGCATGCGATGTCTTCGGTATTGGCATCTTTCCCGGGAAAACAGAAGGTTATAGAGTATTTCTACAAGTCTATTATAGTGAAGTCATCTCATCGCTATGCATGTGAGCATTTATGGACTACATGGCATGAAACATGTTAATGTATTTTCCATTGAATTCTCGAAGTTGTTTTCACAATTTATATTGCGGTGAACAAGAGAATTCAACATTATTATGCCTTTTTTTATATTATGCTTTCTAAATAGAAAACTAGTTAACCTAACCTGGATCATTCACATCTAAATCATAAAAATATCCAGGTATTGTTTTCTTTTCACATAAGAAGCTGACCTGATCTATCATGAGTCGTATATAAGTTTGAGGCAGACAACATTAAATAGCAAAAGAAATACTTTATAATTTTCGTATTGTACCATGTTTTTTCGTTTTTGACTTCTCGTTGAGTGGCTTCCTCTTTTCTTATTTGAAAAAAAAAAATTTGATTAAAAACGTACGATCGAGAGCTACAAAAACATTGGCTACAAAAAAGATAGAGAGTATTGGTGGAGATAACACTTTATTGGAGAAGCCGACGGACCACCAAATTTTTGGAGTCTAGATTATTTTGCATAAAACATGAGTAAACCAAATACAAGCTTCTACCCTCGGATTTGTGATTCTAAAAAATATTCCTACAGTTTTTTTTTTCTATTTCGTTAATAACAACAGATACATTTTTTTTTAATTACAACAAAAAAACAGATCCAACTAAAAAATCATTAAAACAGTATTATTACGTGAACTGGATTTTTTTATTAAATATTTTCTCTAATAAATGGTTGACTATGACAAACAATTTGTTACTTTGATTTTCTATCGTAATATCAAAGATAATCTCATAATATCCAAGATACTATCTTTTTATTGTTCACTTTTGACCTCCCTTAAAAAATTAACAAACGTCTTTATATATAACACGAAAACAATTAAAAAAGTAGAAAATAAACAAAATGCATACAATTATGGGTCATTGTGAATTCATCAAAATCCATCAAAATGCTTTCAAATACAATTACAACAAAATACATTAAAAACCAATTCAAAGTAGTGGATCACTGTGAATTCATCAAAACCCAACAAAATATTTCAAAATACAATTACTATAAAATACATTAAAACACCAATCCAATACCACCTCCTTAAAGAGAATTTTAGTTCCAAGCATAACAACTAGAAACCACAACTAAAATTCGAACTTGTTTACAACAAACTTTGCTGGAAAACTACCTAAACCTTAAAAGATCAACCATGAAAGTATACGAAATAGACATAGAAACCCAACCAAACGATGATATGCGCTTCTTTTATACCAGAGCAGTGATATTTTTTTTGGTGTGTTGATTATTTTGAACTGTTTTTATTATTTGAATAAAAGTCTAAGCTGTTTAAAAAAAAAATTTAATTATAGTTTTTGATTGTGAGACTTATATCGTAATTCTTTTAGCAATTGATGATTTTCATAAGAATTTGAAAGTAATACATGTTACGTCTTATGTATTAGTGGATGATTAGTCATTTAATTTGGTTTTAATCAATGAACTTACAGTTGTTTATTTTTTCTGTAACTTAATAATGTGTAACGTAAACAACAAAAACTAGTAGCAATCGTTTTACAAAATAGAATAAATGTTTTCTTTATTGAAGTTATTTCATCGCCGATAGCAGTAGTCAACGAAACTGTTAGATTAGTATCAATCGATAATATAATTTGTAGAGAGACATGTAATTCATTTCACAATTAGAGTTTCGATACATAGTATATTC